AACTTAGCTCACTCAGATCCTCCTCTGAAGCCACTGCCATTAGCTCCTGTAGTAAGGTGGGATCACTCTGGTGCCAGACAACACAAATCCTCACCAACCAAAAGGCATTTATGGGGCACACAGCAAGTATGCAGCAGGCATACACAGACACTCTGAAGTTTCCAAAGACTTTAAGACTGTGGTTCTTGCTCTCAAGGGGGTTTTAGTCTAGAAGACTGAGCACATCTATTAGATATGTATCTACACGTATCTAATAAACAGTAGAGCAAGAGAGGATCTAAAAGGACAACAACATGTGATTAAAATTCTACATCTTTTTTTTAAAAAAAGAGAGAGAGAATTTTAATATTTATTTATTTTAGTTTTCGGCGGACACAACATCTTTGTTAGGTTAGGGTTAGGGTTTTAGTTTTCGGCGGACACAACATCTTTGTTTGTATGTGGTGCTGAGGATTGAACCCGGGCCGCACACATGCCAGGCGAGCGCGCTACTGCTTGAGCCACATGCCTAGCCCAAAATTCTACATCTTTAATCTTGACAATCACCTTAACCAATACTTCTTAAGAGAAATTTCTAAGACCGTTTCTTTAAAAAGCTACTTTGAAAATACAATTTTCAAGAATTCACAAAAAAAAGACATTGCCAGGAATGTGCTTAAACAAGAATACAAAGTTTTAAAAGTGAAGTCAACTTATACAAAGCTATACACATAATTACATAGAACTATCATAAACACACACACACATGCAAATGAGTCTGTATAAAACTGCTGAAATGTCAACATTCTCTGAGGTGTACCAATGTCAGTTTTCCATTTCTGATGTACTATAGTTATATACAAAGTGACCACTAGGAAAGGATAGGCAAAGGGTTCATGGACCATATCTGCTCTATTTATTTATTTATTGGTGGCCATTATTTCTTTTTTTTAATTTAAAACCCAATTTAATATTTCTTTTTTTTTATTGGTTGTTCAAAACATTACAAAGCTCATGACATATCATCTTTCATACATTTGACTCAAGTGGGTTATGAACTCCCATTTTTACCCCAAATACAAATTGCAGAATCACATCAGTTACACATTCACATTTTTACAAAATGGCATATTAGTGACTGTTGTATTCTGCTACCTTTCCTATCCCCTACTATCCCCCCCTCCCCTCCCCTCCCATCTTCCCTCTCTACCTCATCTGCTGTTGTTCAATTCTCTCCCTTGTTTTAAAAATATGGAACGCTTCACGAGTGTCATCCTTGCGCAGGGGCCATGCTAATCTTCTCTGTATCGTTCCAATTTTAGTATATGTGCTGCCGAAGCGAGCACATGGTCATTATTTCTTGTGAATCTACAATAATTTCTAATTAAAAGGCTCAAAAATTGAAGAAAAATATCTTCCCCCCCAACCAGGAAAAAAGAATTAATCTCTAAACACAGATAAGGAAAAAACTCTAAGACATTTTTTAAAAAATATATCTTTATTATTTATTTATTTATTTTTATGTGGTATTGAGGATTGAACCCAGGGCCTCATGCTTGGGAGGCAAGTGCTCGACCACTGAGCCACAACCTAGCCTTCTAAGACATTTAATAAGTTAAAAAAAAATCAAATTGTAGAAAAATATGTACAGTATAACTATATAAAAGGCATAAAAGAAATATATATAATATAATATATATATATATTATACATACACACATACATAAATATTACTCAAATATATTAGAAAAATATTTAAAACAATATACATCAAAATGTGTAAGGGGGCCTAAAGTAGATATTGGGGGATTATTAAATCAAATAATCTCTAATTTAACCGATGATTCAAAATTTTAATGAGAATTTATTGCTTATATAATCAGCAAATTTTTTTTAAAGGAAGACGATTTGGAGTTCCACTCCAAAAATTTTGGTAATGTGAGACTGCAAAAGAAACAGATTGGCTCAAAGAGACTTTTGATGACCGATTTCTCATAATTATGTATAAATAAAATGGAAGTTTCATGCCCTGACATGCAGGATCAAAGGGTTTAATTCAGTCAGAAAGTTCCAAATAGCTAGGTGATAGTTGTGTCCAATTTTGTGAATTTCGGTTTTAAAAATAATCCTTCAGATATTATTTATTTCCCAAGGACTACCCCTGCAGTTCAGGTAGCTGTCACCATGGCGCCACTCATTGCTAACTTGTATAAAAGGAAGAATGCACCTTACAGCAAGATATAAATTAAAAAAAAAAATACTTAGGTACAACATGCTACTTTTAGCCCTTAACAATGCCAGCTAATTACCACTGCCTAATCTAACCTTGGCTGTCTATGAGACCTAAGCTGGTTAACGTACCTAAATTTTTTAGTTGAGTCAAAAGTCTCTAGGCATAAAAATTGATCTCTGTTTCTAGCACTTTGGAGCTTTAGAACAATGAAATGAAGCTTTTGATTCCTCCAGGTCCTGTTAGAACATCAGTTCATGATTTGTAACTTGTTGGAGACATGCATTTATTGATCTTCTGAATAGTCCTAATTATTTTGGGGTCTTCATATTTACCTCCCCGCTTTTCCATTTATTATAGGAAAAAATCCTGCCTATTTCTCCATCAACTTGGCTTCGCTTGAAAGAGTCTAGCCAGCCTGTCTCCTTCTCCATGCCAACCATCCCAACAGTGGTCATTTCTAACTGGGATTGTCTGATGATAACCTCCTCCGTTTTCATCTCAGGATGCTTCTCTAGTGTATTCATGTTTGGATGACTACTAATTTGGGTTTACTAGTCCATGCAAGCTTCCAAATACATTACGAGATACTGTGAATAGGACAAGGCCTTTCATCATCTGAGAAATTCAAAACACATTTAAATCAACAGTTCAAAATAGGACTTTACAAGTGAATTTTCTTACTAACTTCCCAACATACAGTGTGTGTTTCTGTATTTGTGTATAAAACGGATCATAGATATATATACCAGGTAGGTCATAGTCTGATGTAGTCAGACAGAAAATAAACAAAATGAGAAGCCTGGAGAAACTTCTTGATTTGGAAAATCTTGGCCTTTTCAGACTTGTTTCTCGTGGTTTTTCCATTGGCAGTGGTTAGAATCGAGATGACTTTCATAGTTGCCTGCACAGAATAAGTTTTTTTTTTCTTTTTCTTTTTTTCTGTGCTCTACATTCACGGTATTTATCAAACCACAGCCTGCTTTATACTGGGGGAAAAGTTCAATTTTTATATCCTGGTGATAAAACCACTCCGCAGGCATTCCTTGGGAAAATTAACGTAAGATGTGCACTTCACCTCATGACATCGGATGGTGCTTTAAAAAAGTATATGAATGAGGCACAAACCCAAAAGTAAAATGAGAGTTTTCAAAATCTCTGAACCAGGCTCCCCAAATCAAGATGGAGTAATAGCTACTTCTGTAATTTCTGCCAATTAATCCACCCCCACACCACAAAGCAAAGATTCCAAAATAAGTTAAAGAGCAGCATTAGTGACTCAGAGAGAATGACTTCACCCATGGGGCCTCACTGCCAGTGGTTTTCGGTTGCCACTGGTATTTCCCTCTGTACTAACAGTGACATTTACCTGGGGAGATAGAGGGGGAATAGATGACCTGACTTTCCCAGCAGCCCCTGCAGCCCAAGTTCTCGTCCTCAGAAGTGAAGGAGGCAGGCTGTGCCTCAGATTTGGTTCCCATGACCTCATGCTTTTCCCTGTCAAGGCCTTTCATTGGCTTCCAATGCACAGAGGCGAGGTTCTGCAGTAAAGCACCATGGGCACGGTTGTCCCCAACTGCCACAGTGTGCCCCTCCAGCCTTACCTCTCGCTCACTAATTTTTACCTTAAGCCAAACAAGTAGAATTAGTCTATTCCCCTTCTCCCTGTCTGGTTCAAGTTGTTAACCCTGTCTTCACTGTATCTCTCCCTTCCCAGCCTTCCCAAACCCATTGTACTTATCTTTTAAGTCCTATGAACCCTTGTAAGATACCGTCCCCTATTTTTCCAAAGATATATACCTTCCCAAAAGCATTGCCACCTCTGCCTTATAATCAGATTGTTCATGTATGTTACAAGCTTCTTGAAAGATAGATTTGTTTTTGTGTGCTGGACTCCGATTAGCACAATTTTTGCAAGGACTTGAACTTCTCTGCAAGGATGCAGTGGGTAGTTATTAACGTGAACCTCAGACTCAACCTGTCTGAACTCAGCATCTGTTTCCTCCACTCCCTTCCCAACCTCTTCCTCCTGAAGTTCTTGCGCTCGTAACAGAAACCCCATCCATTTCACTGCCAGTGTCACAGAATTTGACATAACTCTTTCTCCTCTGCCCCTCAATCCCTCAGCCCCCATCTAATTCATAACCAAGTCCTGTCGACTCTTCAGTTGGCACTGGTGTTCTTTCCTGTCACAGTGCTGTGGCTTATTTTGGCTACCATCATCTCTCACCTGGATTGTCATAGCAACTCCTGAGTTAGAGTTAGTCTGTCTTCCTCTTACTCTCTCCATCATCCCTTCTCAACACCATTACCACACCAAAGCCACTGTGATATCTCTAAAATGAAGACCTGATTATGTCATCTTTTTTGCTTCTCCAAATCTAGTTCCAACTCTTTCACATTCTATGTGTGGCCTTGGCACATGTATTGCTATTGTGCTATATGCAGCATCATATGTTATCAGAGATATTTTAGTATTTACTATAAGGCTGGGATGTTTGCTGCTGACCTTCAAGTTGTAGTGAAGAAGGCAAGCCATTTTTTTTAAACTACTGTGATTAAATTTTGAAACTAAAAATATCTTAAGCTTCTTGCCCAACTTTTCAGATTCGTTTATTTTGGAGGGCATGCATAATATGACTGAAAGGAGAGCTTTAAAAAAATACTTTCCATTTGCCTCTACTTATGTGAATTAGAATTTTCTAGTGACTTTGAAACACACAAACTTTCTTAAAATCAAAACATAACCAATGACAACTAAAATAACTAACTTGGATGCAGAGATTGATACGAAGCAAAGCATGACATTTAATTCCAGATACTTAGGCTCATCAAAGTTGTCTCATTATCCTTTTTGATAAACATTTAAAGTAAAAATATTTGAAATAAACTTATAAAATACCATATTTATCTGTTTTCTATAGTCAAAGCCTAAGTTAAATTTCATTCCAAAAGACAGTTTCCAGTGATTTTTTTTTTTTAATAGGAGAAAACATTGATGCCTCAGCCAGGACCCTGTCTTCCTCTTGATCCTAGTAAGACGTTCACAGTCTGTCCAAATGCTGGCAGACCCACAGCCCTGTTTTCTGTTCCAGCCAGGATTATCTCTGATCCAAATGGAGACCTGTCCATTTCCTGTTGACATTTCTTGGTGTTCTCAAAGGGACCTAAAGAATGGCTCACTCTGAGCAGGATTGACCCCATCCTCTCCCTGTCTTTCACCAGGTTACAACTCTGGAAAAAACCCTGTTGGGTATAGAAAGCATGGCCGTACATATTCTTTCCCTTTGCTTCGACCCCACATCTCCTAGTACATGCACATTACTATTTCCAAATGCTTCAAGGGAGAGAACTTGCTCTGCAGAACTAAGAAACTCCCGCACTGTCAGGTAATATCTGGCTATCCGTGTTTTACAAATAAAAGGGCACCCCACTTCACAGGCAATCATATAATCCCTAGAATTTAGACCCTCGATCAGTAAGAAATACAATAGAGCTTATTTTGCTGAATCTCGACAGAAGGCTACATTAATGGCATGCTTGGTGCTTGTGGTCAGCAGAGTTAGGTGGTAGCCAGGCTGGTCATGTGCTGTTACGGTCTAGTTGAATCCATAAAGACGTGGATGATGATAATGCTAATTCCTCTGGATTAAATTCCAACAAGAGGTGCTTACAGCTGCCCAGAATGGCATTGAGAAATATGAGTTTGTCCTTGTCCTTTTGACCACAGTACTGGTTGGGTTCCTGAGAGCTTTAATTATTGCTTTGTGAACAGAGCTTGTCTTTGGCTTGGTGTTTATCAGCTCCAGAGCTTAGGAAATTGGGCTTTATCTCTTCCCGATTAGATCACTACAAACCTCATTGGGTAAAGATAGTAGAAGGAGGGTGGGGGACAGAGGCCCTAACTCCCTATCCTGTAAAGCCCAAGCCCTTTATAGAACAAAGCCCCAGGACCCTCCCTCCCCACCCAGCACAGGAGAACTAACTGGGATTTTATTTATTCACTTCTTTCAAGAGCCTTTTAATTGGCAAACCTCTCCGGCTAACTAAAGCACTGATTTTTCTTTCAAGATAAGGGACCGACTGCCTCAGGTTTCTGCTTCTTTTTCCATCCCCTTCAGGTTTTATTAACTTTGTAGCCAGGTTGGAGGTGGCTACTGTGGGATAGGTTGTCTGGCTCACTGAAGAACCTGGTGCCTCCCTCTGCCTCTTAGCAGATTCCATCCTTTTCCATACCACTCCCCAAGGAAGGAAGGAAGGAAGGAAGGAAGAAAGAAAGAAGAAACAGAGAGAGAGACAGAGAGAGAGAAAGAAAGAAAAGAAATGAAAAAAAAACATATGCAGTTGTTCTACCTGCTACTTATTTTAAAGGGACACCTTTCCTGGGGGAGTCAGGTTTGAGCTGGGTTTTAACAGTCTTCTGGGGCTTTGGTATGATGAGAGGTCACAGAGATGCTGTCACAGGGGTGGGACCTGCATCCCTCAAAGGGGTTCACCTGTGGCTCCTGCCCTGGGCTTCGCTCCTGTCTGTGGCCGCAGCACTTTTCTGAGGGCTCTGGATGCCGCTCACCATTTTCTGTTTCTGGGCACCACGGCCCTGTTCTTTGGCCTCCAGTGACAAAATGACTTCCTGATATCTAAAGCCTTGCCCCACCACCTCCCCAGCCAGAACCTTCCCGGAACCTTCCACAGAGCACTGCACATTTAAAATCCACCACGCCAGCTGTTGCTCCTTGGATTCCCAAGAAGTTAACTCCCTGGGCTTATTTATCTTGGGGGTGAGCTGGCTGCGGCTCAGCTCCTGGTCATGAACTGGCTTCTTCTGCTTTCTTTCCTTTTAACTCCATGGAAGTATTGAGAAGGGCTAATTCTATCCTTGTCACTTTGACAGACTCCAGGAGACATCCGTGGGGGGATTGAGAGACCCTCACCTGCTAGACTGGAGAGAGAGAGGGAAAAAACCAAATGCCAGGATTTCTGCAACTTAAGTCAGCTCATTCCTGAACACATCAGCCCGTCTCCTGGTTCTTGACCTCCTTTGGGCATTGTGTGTCTGATGAGCTCATGCTTGTAAAGACTGCAAGCCTTTAATTGAAGTGTAATTAATAATCATCTGATAAGTGAATAACAATAATAATGATGATGTAATCCCCTTCCCCCACGCCCCGCCCCTGTTCTCTTGGGTAGTAACACTGTGAGATGATGTCCTGGTGTACTCAGGGAGATGAATGGCTGGAGGTGAGACGAATCATCATAGCTATGGGCTTGCTGGCAACGCCTGGGGTTGGCCTGCCAACCGGAAACCTAAGGGCGCAGAACAATGCAGCAATGTTCTAAAAGTGTTGAGCCATTCGGGTAATGGGAAAGTTCAAGCTGTTTCATGCCTCGGGTCCCAGGACACCCACTTGCTTCTGGCCAACCTGGTGGCCTCTCAGGCAGGATGGAGGAGCCTGGAAACCATATTGAAACTGATAGTTACTTATTTCTCCTGATGCTCTGCCTCCCTCTCTTTCCCCTGGGGTGAGTGAGTGAGGCTCCTCAGAAGGGGTAATATATATGCATCAGGCTGCCATCTACATACCATTGATGCTCGCGATGGATGCCAGTCATGGTGTACCTAGTCATCTTGAGCACCTGATGATCTGAATGCAGAAGCAATAGGTTTTGGAAAAAAGAATCAGTTTGGTTCTCAGGCTTCTTGTGGTTTAATCTCCAAAGTAGATCCGAAGCTAAAAGAAATGGTTAGAATGGAAACACGTAAACAAAAAAATGGTGAAGGAGAGACTTCATCATCCACTTTTGCCCTGAAGGCTTCTCAGGCTGAAAGGCTGAGATAGGTAGAATGGAATCCACAGCTAGAAAAGATAATCATACCTTTCATTTGCAAACGGTTTATAGTTTACAAAGTATGACCTCATTTGAGCTTCGCAATAACTCTGTAAATCTGGCTGAACTGATTTCCCCAATTCACAGATGAGAAAACTGAGGTCCAAAGAGGCTGAGTGACTCCCTCCAGGAAGTGCCAGGGTCAGAGCCAAACCCATACTTCTAGAAGACGATTGGACTTGCTCCACAATGGGCTGATTACACCATCTCTTCTCTGCTAGAAAGATTGATATTCAACTTAATCAATAGTTAAGTAGTGAATGACTACTGTGTGCTGGGGACAGTGCTAATTGGGAAAATAGCAGTGAACTTAACATACAAGGTTTGCTTCATGATGTTTTCATCCCTATTTTAGTTTTGAGTTTGCTTGAATCTCTAGACCACAATCCTTCTAGAGAGATCTGTAGTAATTAAAGTTCTTTTGGCTGCAATAGTGAAAGTTAGTTCTGGCTAGCAGTGCCATCAGAGGGAAATTTATTTGAAAGATTATGGGGTATCTCACAGAACCTAAGCAAATGTTCCACCCCAAACTTTGGGAAAGCTAAGAATTTCCCCAAGCTTCCCCAAGTTCAAGAAGGGCGGTTTCTAGAGTCTCTGCAGTAAGAGCAAAGAGGCTTTCTCTTTTAATCTAGAGTTTTGCCTACCTGTGACTTTCTTCTTCCAAATTCAAATCCCCAGCACAGAATCTCAATGGCCTTGTTGGCCCAAAGTCTCTATCTTTGGAATAACCTCTTGGGCCAGCAGGGCAGGATCATAGAGAGCAGACATTACTACTGGTCAGTTTCCAAGGAAAAGAAATCAGTCCGTGCTCAGGAAGCCACATAAAAAGGTGTTGGTACAGTACCCTACCCAGGGCCTTGGGGATCACTGCAGGGCAAAGCATGCAGTAGAGTACAATATTCTGTTACTGCCTCTCTAAGACCTTCCTCTCCTTTCAAATTTCCTCTTTAAGTTCTCTATCTTTCAGATGGAAATTTCTGTCAAAAATGCAAAAGACACAGTGCTTTATGAATATATTCTGAGAAATTTATGGTGAAATGAAATCTCTGGGATTTTTAAAAAAATATGCTACGGCTTGGATCTTTAATGTCCCTTTAAGGTTCCTATGCTAAAGGTTTAGGTTCCATGTGGAAACTTTAAGAGCTGGGGACTAGTGTGGAGGTCTTTAGGTCATTAGGGGTACACTCTTTCGGGGGATAGTGGGACCCCCAAGTTCTTTTCTTCCTCATTTTTGCTTCCTGGCATTATATGCTCTATCACATGCTTCCTGCCATATGTGCTGCCTCCCCAAAGGCCCAAAGTAATGGGGCCATGCCATCAGGGACTGAAAGAACCCAAGTAAACCTTTCTCTTTATAAGTAGATCAAGTCAGATATTTGTTATAGTAACAGCAAGTTGAGTCACACAAAATAGTCCAGGTACAAGACAGTGGAGCAGATAAAGTAAGAAGGGCCCATGTTCACGTTGGTTAGAGTTGGGTGATAGACACACAGGGTTCCTTTGACAGTTCTTTTTGCTTTTCTACATCATTGAAAATGTCTATTTTTAAAAGGATTATACAGGACTGGGGTTGTGGCTCAGCAGTGGAGTGCTCGTCTAGCACGTTCGAGGCCCTGGGTTCGATCCTCAGCACCACATAAAAATACATAAATAAAATAAAGGGATTGTGTCCAACTACTTCTAAAAAACAAATGTTTAAAAAAATAAAAGGATTATACAATTATGTTTATTCCTTCAGAACTTTTTTTTTTTGTACTGTATTTGAAGCCAAGGGTACTTAATATAGAGTTACAACCTCAACCCTTTTTAAAAAAAAAAAAAAAATTTAAGACAGTGTTGTCGAGGCTGGCCTTGAACTTGCAATGCAACAGCCTTAGCCTCCCAGGTGGCTGAGATCATAGGCGTGTGCCAGCTCACCTGGCTTTCAGCCCTTTTTAAATGGATGTCTTTCTCTGTATAAATTCTTCTGGTGATTCCCTATGCACCTTTCTCCTTATTTGATATTTCCCTGGCTCTTCTATGTACTTGCCTGGACTTCTCTCTTGCCCTCTGTCCTTTGAACAGGGTTCCACAGAATGTTGAGTGCTCTTGTTTCCTGGCTGCTCTTGTGACCCTCCCCGGGTGGCCCTTCTGTGATGGGAGAACGCTATTGGGAGGAGAGGTTGGAGTGAGAGGAGGCTCTTGGTGGCATTTGCACCTGCAGGTGAACTTTTTACCCTGGCATCTGATGCCCAGCATCCCTTCACACCTGGAGGGACCGCTGTGGGGGTCCAGCCAGGTTGTAAAACATGTTTAGGAACAAGCTTTATTTTGGACCCAATGTGAAAGAAGAAAAGAGTGAGGCAGAGAGCTGGCTCAGGCCACAGCTCAGGTGGGGTGGGCCAGGGAGGGCGGCTTGCAGCAGGTGCCCGGTTGTCTTTCATTTCCAGCAGTTCCATTAACAGTTGGCAAGTCTCACTCACCTGCGGCATTTGTAACATGCAGCTGTTGACACAACTGATACTACCTCATGCTCTTGGGCGTTTATGTGTCCCTTGTCACGGTCACTGGAACTCAGGGGCTGCAGGGTCTGTTTTCTCCACTTGCTGCATTTGTATTGGGTGGGGAGACAGTGTCGCCACCACACCCCACCTCTCTTCATCAAATCCTCTGTTCAAAGCACAGTGCCCTCATTTCCCCCTCTGGATTGATGTTAAGCACTTAATGTAATTGCCTCACAGAAAAAAAAATAGCCAAAGATATACAGTCAACCACACCGTGGCCTCATATTTCAAAACCAGCCTGGCTTCTTTTGAAATGCTCCCTTACAGGGTGTGAAATCAATCATGTCATGGCTAGGTCTCCTCTGGCACAGGGGCACCAACGTCTCATCTTACTCCAGAAAATACAGCCAATGACTTGATTCCCTCTTTCCCTCAGCCCTGTCTACCCCAGCCTTCTACCCCCAACTTCCCCAGGGCCCTTTCCAGTGGACCCCCCTTTTTGCTGGGCAGCCTGCTCTGTGATTCTCATTTACCATAAAGACATTGGCCAGGCTGTTCGCCGTCTATTCTGCTCCCTGGTGCCAGCCTGTACCTTGTCCTCGTCCTCTGCTTCAACCAGTGCCAGTGCCAGTCACTCCATTTCCCAGTGTGAGTCAGATCCTGAACGGTGGCCATTTTCTTTGCCCCCCTCCCCCATCCCCTTCACCTTTCCACCCAGGACACGTGATCTTCCACAAAGGAGAGCAACTGGGCTGGAGGCAGCCCTGTAGCCCTCCCTCTCCCCCTGAAGAGCCCTGCAGTAGCAGTGGGGAGAAGAGCGAGTTGGAGATGGCTGGTTCCTGCTCACCTATCATAGTGTTAGAGGGCAGGACCAGCAGGGAAGCAAAACCAGCTTATGGAAGTGAAGACTGTTGTCTAAGTCAACTGCCACCCTGAGGACCTTCTGCCTCTCCCTTGGAGTAACTGTTGGCAACCAAGCAATATGGATCCGGATGTGTCCTCCCAATGCATGTGTTGGAAACGTGGCGCCCAGGGCAGCATTGTCGAGCTGGGGGATTTAGTCTCCAGACCCTGCCCTCATGAATGACTTAAGGCTGGTCCCTTGGGAGTGAGTGAGTTATGTGGCAGCGAGTTAGTTATGGAGGGGTGAGTGCAGCCCCCACTCTCTCCATCTCTCCCATACTCTCTCCCTCCAGGTGACGTCTGTGCCATGTTATCAATGCCGTCGGGGACCCTAACCCGACACCAGCCCCTTGATCTTGGACTTCCCAGTCTCCAGAACTTGAACCAAATAAACTTCAATTACTTACAAATGACTCTGTTGTATTCTGTTGTGACAAAGCAGACTAAGACAGCTGTGTGGACAATAACAAGGAGGTGCAGGCAGGGGAAGTAAAGGCAAAGGGTGGGAGGGCAGGCGCGTCTGTCAAGCAGACTGACAGACGACCCTCAGCTGCGCGGCTTTGCTCATTTCCCAGCTCTGCCGAGTCACCCACCGCCACGCAGGTGAACCTGAAAATCTGAAACGTGACAATGTCTCCCTGGCTCTGTTCTGTTCTGCATTGATCTCCTCTTCCTATCACTTCTCTGATGCGTGTGCTGTGATACCCCGCCCCCCAGTAGATAATGACAAGGTTATTATTCTTCCCTAGCAACTTGGCTTTGAAGAGAAAAATCAAAACGCACACATTTGCCCCCCTCAACCTGACCTGTTCTGATCATCTCGAACTGTCCCCTGAGCCCTTCCCTGTGTGCACACACTCACACAGCTGCGGTGCTGTCTTACGGTCTCTGAGTTACCTTGGCGAGATGCCTACGGCTAGTTCAGAATGGTAACTATAAATAAGACTCGGCCCAGAAGGTTAAATACCTGGCTACCCAAAACAGACTACCATTACCCCAGGGAACTCTTCTCCTGGTGCCCTAGAATGGTAAGCTTGGTTCTTTATTTGGGCCACTTATCGCCTATTTCTTCAAAGACTGTTTGTCGTGTAAATTGGCTTTGATCTTTGTCTATAGTTCAAATAATGGGAAGTTCAAAACATGTTGAATGGAAACACACGAAGAGATACATGATATAGATGCCAAGATGGAGGTGCCTGCCAACTGCATATGCCGAATCACAGACACCGTTGAGTGGAGACCTCTAACCACTCACCCATCTCCTATGCCAAATAAGGGGTGGGTACCATTTAGAAAAAGGTGATCATTACTGCTTTCATGACAGTCTAGTGAGGGAACAGACTTCCATAAATCAGACCATGATTAATGCAACATAAATGCTAAGAAGAAAAGACACGAGGGACCGTGAAGATGCATTAATCTGTTTTCCATTACTATAACAAAATAACCAAGGCTGGGTATTTTATTTTAAAAAGAGATCTATGTAGTTTATGCTTCTGGAGGTTGAAAGCTGACACAGCATGGTACTGGCTCTGGTAAGGCCTCCCCGCCACCCTGGCTGTGTCACATCATGGTGGATGGTATCACAATGGTGGGCGGGAGAACTCCCACGGTGTGACAGACTAGGGCCAGTCTTGCTCTTTTAGAACAACCCTTTTTTGAGAACTAACCAGAACCATATGAGGACTACCTTATTCCCCCTCCAAAAGCAGCTCCCTTAATGACCTAATGACCCCACCAGGCCCTACCTCTTACAGGTTCACCACCTCTTAACATCATGGCAGCGGGGACCAGCCTCCAGCACGGATCTGTGGGGAGATCCAACCATATCCAAAGCGCAGCAGATGGAGTTCACACCTCCCAGGCTACAGAACCAGGGAAGGTGACATTTATGCAGTGATGTCAAGAATGTGGGGGAGATGGCAGGAATGGGGTGGGAGGAGGAGAGAGCTCAGCCTGTAAATTGCCAAAGCAAATAGGGATGCTAATGGTTGTGCTGGAGAGTGACTCTCATCTCCCTGGCAGAGACTTAACATTCCTGAGTTCCTCTTGGAAGCTTTCATAAGCAAATGGGTTAAGTACACGTTTTATTAATAACAATCACACTGGCAATGCTGACCCTGGTTGAATGGTTCTTGTGCACCAGGCATCAATCAGAGTGTCGAATGGTACCTCAGTGATCCTGGTCCCCACCCCCCTAAACAGCTCAACGCCTGGCCCTTTACCCTGCTTAGCGTTTCCCTATAGTTTTCCCCATCACCCGACATGTTATATGTCCCCATCCACCTGTTTATCGCCTGTCTCTCTGATCGGAATGTGACCTCCAGGAACCCAGTTGCTTTTACTTATGTTGTTCACTGTTGTTTCTCTGGAGCCTCGAACACTGCCTGGCACTTCCTTGGTGCTCAAGAAATACACGTTTGTTAGATGAAGGCGTGGATGTTGTTCATTTACTCCCCACAGCATCCTTGTAGGTTAGTAAATTGGCACAAAGAGGTTAAGTCATTTACCCAAAGTCACACAACCAAAGGAGTGGTAGAATCAAGACTTACGCAGCAGGGTTATTTGAAAAACAGAAACAGCTATGTAGAGTGCATCAGTTTGACTTAAATGGCATTTGGTTAAATGGCATTCTGTTCAAACACTTCAGAAAAGTAATCCAGTTCAGTATGGCAGTTCTGACCACCATGGATTTTATAAAACAGAGATCAACGAGCAAGTGGCCCACAAGGACTGTCTTAATTATAGGAAGCCTTGTACCAGCCCAGGGAACTTGCAACCCAGATAAGATAAGGCCTCCTGAGTCATAAAACACTTTCAGATTCCATGGTATAATCCACAGCCAGTGTTGCTGGAATATCCCTCACGACTGACGCCTTAGTAACTCAGTCTGGTCACCAAGCATGTGAAATATGGAATATACAAACACAGTTTGCTTGCTTGGCTTTTTCAGTTGAATTGAAAACTTGAAGGTCGTTGTGTATGTGTGTTTAAACAACAAAAGAGCTTGGAGTAAAGAAAGAAAACAGCAGCCACCCTTCGCCCCACCTGTCACCTTGTCTCCTGTCCAAAGGGGCAGAAGCTGAGTTGGCCTGAGGAATGTGAGTCTTGTTCCTGAGGCCATTTTTGACGGTTCTCTCCTTTCTACGGATGGCTAGGCATGTTGTTCAGTGGTCAAGTGACCCTGAGTTCAATCCCAGGTATCAGAAAAAAAAACATGTTTTGTGTTTATGAACTTATGTTAAATTTAAGGAGAGTTTAAGCATATCCTGAGTGGCTTTATGTATTGATTACTGTTCCCAGCATATCTTGGGGGTACTTTTGTTGTGCAAAGGAAAGAAAACAAGCAATGCTTGTTGCTGTGAGAAATGTCATAAGCAACAATTTTCTGCAGGTTTTAAGTGCTTAAATTTTAACTTTCGTCACTTCTCCATACCTAATTAGAGCCATGGAAAGGCTATTACAACAAGGAACTTGAAACCCCAGAACAGTTTCATTACTGTCTTTACCAGGTTGTTATGAGAATAAATAAATTTAATTCAATTCATCAAATATTTAGTGTTCACTAAGCCATGTCGAATTCTGTGGGCACAGATGAAGAATTAAACAACCCTCCTGCCTTCACAGAACTTATGGACCAGCATAGGTTGAAAGACCAGTATACATATATTCATAGTAGAAAGTATCGTACCCTCTAGGTGACAGGGGCACAGAGTGATCCAAATACAAGTAAAGGAAGCACTAATTCTGACTGGTGCTACTGGGAGAGACTGTGGAAGCTATATAAGTCAGCTTCAGATTGCTATAACAAAATGCCTAAGATAATTAATTTATTTAAAAAAAAAGATTTATTTTGACTCACTGTATTAGAGGTTCCAGTCTGAGATTGGGAAAATCCACTGCTTTGGGCCTCTGATGGCAATGGTGGGGAGCACATGGCCAAGCAAACTACTCATCTCAGGGTTAGGAAGAACTGAAAAAGAGGAGGAGATGAAGGTCCCAAAATCCCCTTCCAGGGGTACCCTCAATGACCAAAGGACCTCCCACCAGATTCCATCTCCTAAACATTCCGCTACTTCCCAATAATACCACCCTGGGGACCATGCTTTTAACACATGGGACTTTGGGGAACAATTATTGAAAGCACAGCAGAAGTGGAAACATGAAGAAGACCTTGAAGGAGGGTGATTAGAAGAAGACCTTCTCAAGTAGAGAGACCATGAGACAAAGCACGGAGATCAGACACCGTGAGATTCAATGAAAGCCTGTAAAGTACTCTTCAGTTATAAAATACTTGATGCCACTACTGCCTTTCCCAGTAGCCATGACCTCTCTAGGCAACAAGATAACAGCAATTCAGAGACACGGCCAGCTGCCAGCTTACCTGCTTGCAGAATTTGAAGTAGACCTGACTGGCTTTACCGCCTGCCCCAGTCCCAAAGGAGGTGATGGTACGTGTCAAGTCCAACTGGGGAAAATTAACCCTGGCCAAAGGTTAACAGTTTCCTTCTCTTTCCATCTGTGAACGTCTTCCCAATGCCCTCTCAGCTCTGCCGTTACACATCAACTTCTCTCTCTCTGGCCATTCCGGGATCAAGTGCTGGTGAAGTTGCCTTCTAGCCAGTGACAGAAAGCAGCTTACCTTCATCTATGGAAGACTCACATTTTACATATGGGCCGGGTTTAGATGTTGAATGTCCTTTAAAGTCTCATGTACTGGAGGCTTGGTCCCCAATATGGTAATGTTGAGAGGT